TTTTTTAGAATTTGGCTTTATTTCCGTGTTTCGAACGAAATTTTGGACCTTTGAGCTTACCCAAGAAATTCTTAAACATGCATAAAAACGAACCATATCCGGGACTTCACAAATATATAACTCTTTGTGATTCGTCATGATTTTTCTAATTGTAAATTCTAGTTATAGACCGTAAAGATGAGTTAGAAATTTGTAACTAAAGTTAGAAATTTGTGAATGGGATATAAAAAACTTGATATTTATCTTTTTTTTTCAAACAAAACAAGTCAAAAACCATGAATTTGAAAAAAATAAAATTGTCACTCAAGTTGTTTTTCGAACGCAATTGCAGGATGACGAATTGCAGGATAGCTTTATCCTTTATCGCAAGAGAATTGCAGGATGAGAATTACTGGATAGCTTGACACTAGTTAATTTAAGGGCAAATAACATGTCAAAAGTTGCTAGTTGATGATTAAAATGGTGTATATACCAGCTTTGATAAGTGTTTGGTATTACTATAAATTTTCACTTCGTACTATGAACATCAAAATTATTCATTTTGTAAAAATATTTCCTTTCTCTATTGGAACTGTACACGTATACATAACAACAAAATTATTTTCATTTACTTGTGTTTAAAATAATTGCAAATGGCTGATATTTTTGTTCGAGCACATTGTTTTTCTTAAATTGTTTAACATTTCATACCCGGGGCCTCGGTGGCCGAGTGGTCTGAGTAGTTACTACTGTAATCACTAGCCAGTCAACACTGAGGTTGTGACTTCGAACCACTCTCCTGCGGGTGCACTCGACTCCAATCTTAATTGACTAGGATTGTCAATTTTTCTATTGACGGTCGGTGGTTTTCCCTGGGCACTCCGGCTTCCTCCACCAATAAAAACTGGCCGCCACGAAATAGCCCAAAAGCGGTGCTTAAAAGTGGCGTTAAAACACCAACAATCAATCAATCAATCATTTCATACCGATATAACATGTTATTTTTATTATTCTTCCCATAGTTTATTTATTTTGTATTTGCATTGTATCATAGGTCAAATTTATTTGTTCATTGTATGTTCATTGGTGTTAATAGTTCCTTTGATTGAGTTAAGCTATTTCAGTTGATATTTTATAGTGTGTCTTTCTATGTTGTGATGTTACACTATTGTTTCAGATAAAGGGTGAAGGTTTGGTACCATTAAAACGTTTAAACCCGCTGCATTTGTTTGCACCTGTCCTAAGTCAGGAATCTGATGTTCAGTAGTTGTCGTTTGTTGATGTGGTTCATAAGTGTTTCTCGTTTCTCGTTTTTTTATATAGATTAGACCGTTGGTTTTCCCGTTTGAATGGTTTTACACTAGTAATTTTTGGGGCCCTTTATAGCTTACTGTTCGGTGTGAGCCAGGGCTCCGTGTTGAAGACCGTACTTTGACCTATAATGGTTTACTTTTTTAAATTTTGACATGGATGGAGAGTTGTCTCATTGGCACTCATACCACATCTTCTTATATCTATATAAAGTTTCTGCAAGTCATAAAAACACATAATTAGTTTCATGATATGTCTTCAACTTAGTATTCTGCACCATCTCCAAAAACAGATTGATCGCATAGATCCAGCATGGCTGAATCAAAAAGTGTTAAAACACTCCAATTCACAAACATCAACATTTAATAAGACTTGAGGTCCAGTACTTTCGGTAAACTGCCGAACATTAACATCTTGGTTGGCCTCGCTCCATATAATTTCATTCGTGTCAGTATCATCATTTACATCCTCACGATCCTGCACAATTTCATCATCAATGTCCTCTTCCTCCTCGCTAACCAACGGTACATCTATATCGGACACATTTCCGTTATCCTCTCCTTCAATGCTTTCGTCGTCTGGTGTATTTTGAAGCACTTGTTCAAACACAATTTGGTCCCAAACATCCCATATACTCGGCCTGCAGGAGGCCGCCATATTTGTTATTGTCGTCTGTTATTACATGTGCGAATCTCATGAATATTCATTGCGTAAGTGTGTAATTACCGGCCATTTACTACGAAAAGCACTTGTCTCGTTTATTGATTTTTTAATGTCACAACATTTATATATACGTTAAATTTTTACATTGACGTTTTCAAGTCAAAACACATGAAAAGCGTAGAAAGGCGTAGTTGCGGGGGAAGGGGATAAGCGTAAAAGACGAATACGCGGTGTAAGGGGAAAAGCGTAAACGGCGTATATGCGTGGTAAAGTACTTTCACCCTTTCTTCAATTTTATTTACTTTCACCGTCTCCTCGAGCATTTTGGTTGAAAACGTCGCATTTCCGCACGCTATATTTAATTGGCACGTTTTGACGTCGGGCACTTGCAATTAATTGATCCCCATGTCACGGCATGTGCCTTGACTTAGAAAACTTCATCATGGACACGAAAAATAAGTTCCATGCATAGAGCTATGAATAAAATTTATATAAACTATGTTTTCATGTCTCTAGAGATAAAATACGGTGGATAATCGTGGTGTAAAGTTGTTATCTGTTTTCGTTTTTTGTCAATTTTGACGAATGTCGATTGCGTCTGTGTTTAGATTGAAATGTATAGCGTAGGTTATGTTATCGAATTTATTAGACAACACTGCTAATTAAATTAAAAAGTTCTGATATAAAATCGGATTTTTATGTCAATTTGTCACATAACTTCACGTGTTCGACGGCTAGTTTAAAGAGAAATGGATTTTTGAGAACGTCCTAGAAAATGCCTTGTGAACAAAGGGGAATAATCCAAAGACATCTAAGAACTTCCTAAAAGAAGGTCTATTTCGATCCCAAACATGAAATGAAATACCAGCGGATTGAAAAACCCTAAATCAATGCAAATTTTGGGTAGAATCTGTTTTAGCGGACCCCGGAAGTTGGAAGATGCACAATTTATGCGCATGACCGATAACCCCAATTTATGTTGCTATGCTAGAATATAAACAGCGGCCATTTTTGTTACCACTTCAAAAGACGAAGATGCAAATGATTTTTAAAGATTGCTTAAAACTAGTGTAACTGAACAATATAAAATAAATCTAAAGCATACCCATTTAAGCTTGAAAATCATCCAGACTTGAATTTAATGTGTTTGTTATTTCGTGTAGTACTCTGGGTTTTTAGTTGCAGGTTGCGGTTCACTGATGGTGATAATTTCTGTTGTAATCAATGTTTGTTTTTGTTTTTCTGGATTATACTCTTTTTTAATGAGGGTTATAAATGCTATGAATGGGTCTTCAGAGCCGATTATATATTTCTTTCGTACACAATATTGACTGAAATAAGTATCATAAAGTGATTTTACCGTGCCGTATTTTGGTAGTGATTTAAGTGCACGCCAGGTACTTTCAATGGTGTTTGTATGCGCTCCTGTTTCTGGGTCTACAAAATTCACGGAATGATTGACTTTCAAATGCTCAAATCCCTCTAAACCTAAGCAATCATATGCTTTCCAACAGTCACTAATTATTGTTGTTCCTGGTTTTATATTGTCTTTTATTAATTTTAGTAATGTTTCTTTTGTTCGATTTTCCACTGTGGCAGAAAACCTTTTTTGCTGGCTCTTTCAATAACTCCAAACACCCACTGACGCCCTTTGTCGTATCTTCTTTTCCCAAATTTACTTTCATCTATTTCAACATACGCTATCTCCTCCTATTTTCTCACTGTCTACTTTCAAAATTTCTATACAGACTTCACGGCAATAATTGTACCAGTATACGATTGTTTGGTTACAAATGGAAAGTTCATGCTTTACAAATTCTTGGTCTATTTTGTAAATCCAGAAATACGTAATAAATAATATTTTTTCCAAACTTAAATTATGTCCTTGAAACCAGGACCCTTTTCTGATAGAAACTTTTTTACTGCATTTTTTGTTGCTGTACTTCCAATAAAAAATGTCGTTTGAAAAAGAACTGTCTTTTCTTAATCCAAAATGTCCATGGCTACACTTTTTACATACCTCTCCAGTTAAATCTAGAATTAATCCTATAGAAATACACCACTGAATAATTTTCCCAATACTTTCACAAATAATAAACAAATCTTTTAACTTGATCGGCATTTCCGTATTTACATTGTAATGTTTGTAAACAAACACAGCTGATTTTACGTTACGGTTGACAATGACGTAACCTATTTCATGAATATTCATGACGTAGAGGTCACCGATAATGGAATTTTTATCACGTGATATACCTACCTGAGTAACGGAAGCTTGGACATATTGTACACTTACTAAGACGTCTTTCTGTTAGATATTGTAATTCTAATTTAAAAAAACTGTTTAAAACAACAGTTTTTTAAACAAAACTTCACCTGGAGAATTCGATTTTGACCTTATTTTATTGATTTTTGGGCTATTTTCATTTTCAACTTTTTGTCGCTATCAATCCCTATATACTAGTATTAACTATAGTATCCCGTACTTTTTATGGGGTCCGCTAAAGTAGAAGTACTCCCAAATTTTAACCAAGAAGTTAAACCTGTCTGACATACGGTACTGTTTATGTAAGCTGACAAAGTTTTTTTTTTGTCCAAAGTTAAACTGAGGACACTTTTAAAAAAAATTGAGATTCCTGCAATTAGTACATGTATTTAATACACTAATATTTTTTATCTGCTTCACAAAAAAATCAACTATACATGTATATCAACAAAAGTGGGAAAACATTAATAAAGTCATACAATTTATATAGAATAGAAAAGAATAGAATATTTTTATTTACCGAATTATATATTAATGCAAAGAGACACAGACATTTAATTAAAAAACATTTTTTGTATTTGATATTATGCATATTCTTTACAATATTCTAAAGGCACTTTTTAACAAATTAACAAAGTATTTAAATTGAAAGGTTTATAAAGTTCAAACTCATTGATTACTTTACTAAACAAACCACAAATGTTTTTTAAAGGACATATACAAATACTGTTATTGATATAAAAATTTCATGTCAAATTTCAGTATGATTATCATGGTTTCCTTTACACAAATCTATTCTTTATTTCAGTTTAAGGTTATTAAGATAAAATTTAGTGATTAAGTAATCATAAAAAAAGAGTTTATCATTTTACAGCTTCACTCTTCCATAACAACAACACCAATGACAGCATGGAACCTTCTGTGACATTCAAAACTACATAAATGTTTGTCACATTTATTACAACCATGAATAGTCTCTTTCCTTTTTTTTTCACCATGCTTTGGACAAAATTTACATCTTGATGTTTTCCTTTTTACCTAGTATGTCTATGTAAATAAGGGTTGTTGCTCATGTTCATTGGGAAAACAACCAAAGCTGGAGTTCTCCTTTTAGTGAAAGAGTAGCAATTGATTAATTGTGCGACCAGATTAATCCTGAAATCAAGTTGAGTGTATCTTTTCCACCTGATTTAAGTGGTCATACAAGACAAAGCCATTTATTATGCCCAAATTTGTAAGAAAGTTTAAGAAAATTTCCACCACTTTTTTGAGCTCCTTCCAACAAGATATTTTGACCGAAGTTGGTCGCAAATATCAACACCACGAAAGTTTGCCTGGTAATTGTTGATGATCCGTGGTCTTGTGTTCTGTTTCACAGTACTATCTTTTTGTCTCCTTTCAGTAACGTCACTCTAAACCAATAAGAATGCATCTATTAATACATCATGTGAGTACATGTTTTAGGTGCTATATGTACCTCATTTATACATGTATTTTATAAATCTGGATTTCAATTTGCAGTTTAAACTTGTTTGCTAGCCTTAAATGTAATTTTGTTTGAAGCTTTCAGCATCAAAAATGAGTATAACCTTTAACCGTTAAACTTTTGATACATTGTGACTTGGATGAAGAGTTGTCTCATTGTACTCATACCATATCTTATTTATATAACAAAGTTTTCACAAAATAAATGTAAATGTCAAAACATTTTTTTTGTGCTTTTTATACCAAATCTAATTTTGGCTAGATTACAAAGTAAAAAGGGGAAAAGCTTCCTGCAAAATTCAATAACTGTTTTATAATATATATTTTTTAAGTGCACAAATACATGTACATATAATTAATATGGAAGGTGAATGTACCTGTTCTTATAGACTGATTTGTTGACAACAGGGAGACATGTTTTTTATCCATCCACACAACTGTCACTAAGTTCCGACACTGTCGCCCAACATACTGTCCTTGCTCCAATCTGATAGGAAGATTCTTCAGCTCTTCTGGAAAACTGCCTACGATTCTTTCGTATGGTACCACCGATGTAAATCCCATTCCCTTAAAGGTTGATAGCAAGTGGAATGGATGTAAAAAAACTATCAAAGTAAACATGATGGAATTTTCCTTTCAGTTCATCACTCAACTTTGTTATAACATGGTGACAAACTTTTACCATTATTTGGATTGGAGCCTTTTCCCAGGTAAACATCAAATTCATGGCAGTATCCTGATGAATAAAACCCCATAACTCAAAAATGTAAAATCTAAAATTTATAAAAAAAATCGAAAGGGAGCTCATGTCAATAGATATAAACAATTCACCAAAATTTCATGCAAATTGGTGAAAGCATTTTTTTGAGTTATTGTCCGAAAATTGGAAAATCCCCCTTCTTTTAATGAAAATAACCCCATAACTCAGAAATGCAAATTGGTTAAAGCGCTTTTGAGTTAATGTCCGACATGTTGACGACGGACGGACAGACGGACAACAGTATACCATAATACTTCCCGTAAACGGGTGAATAAAAACAATCCAGCTGAATGTAAGCTTCAAGTAAATGTTTTGATTTATAAAGGATTAAAGGATAAAACATTTTAAATGTAAACTGAATGAACCCTATTAAAACATAGTTGATTGATTGTTGGCTGCTTAATGTCCAGTCACACATACATCATCATGACATGAATAATCAAGAAGAGTAAACATGAATCGAAAAAATATCTGGTAATCAAAGGTTTTATATCTCACATGTCTAATAACATGGTTGAGTGAAAAGTTCATGTAAAAACCAAAATCATTTATATATAATATAATATTTCAAATTATGTACATATGGTTCATTCCTCCTATTCCCACTTTTTATAAATCTGGTAAGAAAAGTTAAAATTTCATGTGGGAATAGGGGGAAAACTTGTGCAAACAAAGGATTATACTGTATAAACTTTTTTTAATCAACTTTTAATTGGCAAGTGTTTTTTTTGGATAGATAATAGGTTATTTTTGTATGTGTATGAATTCTGTGTTTTTAATTAAAACAAATATTAAAGAAATGGGAACAAATTTAAGTAAATTATTCTATTTATTGTATAACAAAAATTAAACAGTAGATTCAAACAAGATTTATAATGTGAAACAAACAATACAAGTTAACAGCACTAAAACAAATCATACATCGTAGCACACACATTAGAAATTCACTGTGTATAAGTCTATTAAAAAAATATTTAATCCATTCAACGTGAAGAAGGTGGGAGACTGCATCACCAAACTGTACTGTTGTGACTTCCTGGTTGCTGTGTATAACCTTAAGCTCTTCTAATCTTTTGTTAAATTCGACATACTTTCGTTTTTGGGCCACTCACTTCCCACCGGCTGCATATTGGATCATGGTCAGGGCATAAAAAGCTTCCTCATGTTCCAGTAGTTTTATGAGTTGAAAGATGTCTGGATGTGGGTGCTGGACATGTTTCTTTAGCTTGCTGTGCCATCCCTCTAGATGTTTTGTAGTCATAGGTCTCTTTGTTGTGTAATGGTCCCAAAGGTGACTGTTCTGTTCGACCAATTATGTTGTTTCATAGTCTGTAATGGGCGTGTAGTTGATGTTAGTATCAATCTGATCTATGTCGGTAAGGGCATTAAACCACACATATTCGACCTCAGCAGTAGGTACAAGTGGAAGAACAGCGGTGTACTAGTTCATGAATGTTGTTGTCTTCCTTGTATGGTAGTACGTGCCTAAATACCATCTATGTTGATTTCATTAACAGTTCTTGGTAAAACTGGTATGTTCTTCTTGCGTTTGTTGTACATGGAATTCTTGCAAGATAGGAAAGTTTGTTATAATATTATCTATCATCAATTTATTTGTTCGGATGACAATCAATGTTTTTTTTATATCTTACTTCTATTTATCTGACTTATTGTTTATTTTTCTTTATTTCTATGAAGAAGAAAAACATATTACAAATAAACAGTGTATTATTTTTTTCTAAAATAATATTATACTTAAACAGTGTAAGAAATATGTTTTCTTTTAAAAAATACAGGTAAATCTAAGGTGAATTTTTGATTAACCTTGATTGTTATAAAAACAAATTATTTGTCAAAACATCTATTGTTATTTGCAGGTGGGAATAGAAGGAATAGCGATTTTTAAAAAGTGGGAATAGGAGGAAGACACCGTACATATCATTGGCACTCATACCACATCTTCATATATCTATTTACTGCAGGGTTTGTTGCTCGTGCTGTGTGGATGCAGTAGAATGTGTCACCGTGCTTGTGTATGCCCTCATATTTTTCAATTATGGGTTGTTTGCCTGTGAGAGAGCTTTCACATGTTTATTTTATCTTTGTATGAAATCTTAATTGTTTATTATATATTACGGCGTTTGGATGTGTAAATACTCATCCACGCCTGCTATTTTTTATTATTGCCCCCTGCTATGTTTTACTAAGATTTCTTACAATCTCTGTTTTTTATAATAATAATAATAAAAATAATAATAATTTATTTTATTAAAGTGTCACATACTTGTCTACAGATTTTTATACAGGTTATATAAAATACATTGCATAACAATAAAATAAGACAAATACCCAGCCTAGACAGGCTTATGAGACACTATATATACAAATATATAACTATTTAATAAATACAAATTGTAAAACGTAGTAAAATGTCAAAAATGTTTAAAATTATCCGAATTTTACACAATTTTTTCATTAATTAAATAAAAAAAAAAATATAACTTAAAATAGAAATGACACAATTAAGTAAAAATAAATGATATTTGATAAAAAAAAATATGTTTTAAGGGGGTTATATAAACAAATTGCGAAGAATAAATTGAAATAATTTTGGTTTTTTTTTTTTAATTTTTAAAGCCTCTCGGTAAAATAGTTAATAAACAAAACATGAATAAAATGAATTAGATAAATGAATAAATTAAATGTACCTTTGGCTTTTACGGAAATATACAATCAAGAGTGTAGATTGCTTTTCAGTGCGCGACGTCTTCTTATCATATTATGCACCAAGGTTGATAGCTCGTATTGTAATTCGACATTCTGTATTAAAAATACAAATTGATGAAAATCTGACTTTGTAAAAAAAGAATTACCATAGCTCTGTGAAACAAATTAAACCTTAAGTCACTGTAAATGTCACAATTAATCAAAAAGTGTATCTCATCTTTCATAGCATTATTACAAAATGGACAAATTCTTTCTTCTAATATTTTATATATAACGACCCGTCTCGACAGACAAAGGTAAAGTTCCACATCTAAGTTTACATAAATAACCAAATGGCGTAGCATTGCGTTAATAATATAGTGTTCAGGTTGAAGGTCCTTCTTGTAACGTCTATATAGTCTCAACTTGTTTCCATTCACATTCGAATTGTCATTCCAAAGTTTGGTAAACCACAACTGTTCATCTAATATTCGTAATTTACTTTTAATCACTTTAAAAAATAGTTCTTTGCTAATTCCAGGCTGCATTAAGTATTCTACAGACATGTTGAGAAATAATTTAACCACATTAAAGTTCCAGGATCTACGTTTTCGTTTCGACCATAGATGTATCTTATACAAAATACGAGAATTATCTGAATTTTCAAGTTTATAAAAGAATCTTAAAACTTCCAATCTTTGTTTAGCATGACTAAACTAAACAGCCATCCTAAATCACCCTGTACTGCGGTATTGCTAGTCAATTGAGTCACTCCAAGGAATATTTTACTAGCCCTGTTTTGAACGTTATTAATGAGTCTGTTCCGTAAGTCCCCATATCGACGCACCATATAACAATATTGGTTGTATCAAACTTTCATACAGTTTTGTGAACACTTGATACGTCTTACCACCACAAGCGTAAAATTTCACAGTCAAACAGCTCAAAGCTCGACTGGCAGATTTAGAGAGTTCTTAAACGGCTTTATTCCATGTTACATGTTCAGTAAACCATATACCTAAATATTTGTATGAGTCTACATAGACTAAACTATGACTACCACAGAAAAAATTGAAAGTAGAACGCTGAACGGAGCTAGGCCTAAAATGTATGACATTTGATTTACTACAATTAATCTCCATTTATGGCACCATGCATTAACACAATCAAGCATACATTGTAAACTAGCCTTATTTGGACCTAGTAAAACGATATCGTCTGCATATAGTAAGATGCTTACATTTATACTATCAATATCAATACCCTTATTTAAAGACTTAATTTCTGTAGCTTTCATTGATATACAGAGCAAAAAGCGTCGGAGAAATCAAACACCCTTGTTTCACTCCACATGAAACCGGAAACATTGATGTAAAGACGTTGTTAACACGCACAGAACATGTTGTGTAGTCATACAAAGATTTAACAGCATTTAAGATTTTTCCGTTAACACCAAACATTTGTAATTTGAACCATAAACAGTCCCGATTCACATTGTCGAACGCCTTCTTAGGTTGAAAGACGTGACAATTAATTGTCATTGATGATAGAGTACAAACTATATATACTAGGCAGCTTCGTTTTCTATGAAATCCACATTGTTCATCAACCAGTACACCCGAATCTTCTATCCAATCTCCAAACCTACGATTAAGAATGTCACATGGCACTGACAAAAGTGTTATCCCACGATATGACAAAGGAACACGAAAGTCTGTACTATTTGGTTTCACTATTGGATTTATAATTCCTTGTTTCCACTCAAGTGGCTAAACATCATTTTCAAAACAAAAAATTATTATCATTTGTAACATATCGATACAGGTTTTGTTTTTTAAAACTTCTGCTGGGATAATGTCTATGCCAGCTGCCTTTCTTAATTTCAATCTGCTCACCGCTTCCTCAACTTCACAACGAGTGATGGGTTCGTTCAAACAAGATGTTATATATGTCAGTTTTGTAATACTTAAGTCTTTACGTCGGGCCTTTTATAACAGTTTTTGTAAGAGTTCTTATACTGCTTTGCCTATTATTTCCTATTCCGTAATTGTGACCCTCATTCAATGTTGCAACCTCCGGTCTTTTTTTATTGTTCCTA